GCCGCGTGCTTGGCCGGGGGGCGGCGGACCCGCGCCCGGTGGCGGGTTTCTGCGCGGCGGCGGGGTCCGTTTGGATCTACCCCACTAACTACCCGGTGCGCGGTTATCAGGTGCGCATGGCCCGCGCCGCCTTGCTGGGTAACACGCTGGTCTGCCTGCCCACCGGGCTGGGTAAGACCTTCGTGGCCGCCGTCGTCATGTACAACTTCTACCGCTGGTTCCCCTCCGGCAAGGTGCTCTTCCTCGCCCCGACCAAGCCGTTGGTGGCTCAGCAGATGGAGGCCTGCGCCCGCGTTATGGGGATCCCGTCCCGGCACATGGCCGAGATGACAGGTAGGGCGGCGGCGGGGACGGGGCCGGCTCTGCTCCAGGGCGCATCGTGCTCGGGGGTCTCCTCGGAGGAGCCGCAAACATCGAGGCTGCGTCTTTTTTTAGGACAAGAAGATTTTCCAGGGGTTAATTTTAGGTTTTGCAATAGTTTAAACCCCAGGTCACCAATATAAGGGTGATGAAGCACTGGACCGTGTTTTCTGGTGCTCTGGGGTGCAGCCCTGTGGTTCACAGAGCCTTGGGGTTTCTGCACAGAGGTGTAAATGTCTGCACAGAAAATATGCCCTGTATGAAACTTAAGCCAGAGAATAATGGCTTTTTTTCTTTTTTTTTTTTAAAAAGTTTTTACAAACCCCATGAACTGCAGTTTATTGCTTACTGAAGTAATAGCCTTAATGACTGAATCCATAACCTGGTTTTAAGCGCAAACCTTTGTCAGAGATGGTGTGGATTAGGTATAGGGCTGCGGGAGGCTAGGGGGCATCTTGATCTTTCTAACCTTGTTTTCCGCGGTTCTGGATTTACTGGTTTGATGCAAAAAGTCTTCCTCGTCATTGCATTCATTTTTTTTTTCCTGAAAATGGGAGTAGCATCAAGGTGCGTGCTATTTTAAAAGGCACTTGTTTCCCAAAGCCGACATGTGTCTGCCAGCCCCATCAGCCTTCTGCCGTCACTCTCAGGTCATGGGTCGTGGTCTGTTCTCAGCAGAACAGTAATGTTATTTCTTTAATTTTCAGGGGGAACCCAAGCCCTCAGTCGGAGGGAACTGTGGACTACCAAGAGAGTCTTTTTCCTTACACCTCAAATAATGGTGAACGATCTTTCTCGTGGGACATGTCCTGCTGTAGAGATTAAATGTTTGGTTATTGATGAAGCCCACAAAGCCCTTGGAAATCACGCCTACTGTCAGGTAATGCTGGAGTCACCCCACTCTTGTCTCGCGATTACCAAAAACCCCTGAAATTACTTACAGGATCTCCATAAAGTGTCACTGTCATCATTGCTGTAGGGAGATTGTCCTTTAGGTCCTTAGCTTTGTTTGAAAGAGGTCCTCTACATCGCCAGTGCCTTGTTTTTAAGTAAAACCTGCATTAAAACTTGGTAAGGTGAGATGGGACTTTTTTTAATGTCTGAATAAAATTTTAATTTTTGCTTCAAAATAGTTTTTTGACTGGGGCAATTTAAAAAAGTAAGTCACTATGCTGCTTCTTTCAGGTGTGTTTGTATTTGCAGGTGTACTCTGGTGTGTTTGTGCTGTGTTGGAAGAGCTCTTAAATGGGGGGAGGTATTTTTTTCAGAAAAAAAATGTGGGCTTTTTTTGTAAAGTTCTATATCATAGTAAAATGAGTTCAAGATTTCTTTTTAAAATTGGATTTTGTCTTGATTAGCAAAGAGTGTGTTGCGTTATCTTGGCTTAATCTCCTCATAGCAGTATGTGACCTAAAAGACAGTTCCAGTTTTATATACTGGAGAAATTGACTGAATGTACATGGAGTTGTGTCTAGTTGCTTACTAGGCCTCTTTAGAGGAAAGTAGGTGTTTTTTAGTGCTTGTCTAACTTGGCATGCTGGAAAAGAGATGGTAGCTTGCCAAGTTAAAACTGCATGTTGGTTTGCCAGTGTTGCAGTTTTCTTCTATCATTTTTCAGAACTATAGCAACTTCATTTTCAAAGAATTTAAGCTTATAGGTTATTTTATTTCAAAATACTGTATAAAAATATTTTCTTAAAATATTTTACTGTTATGCAAATCACTCTGTAACATAGAGCCAAGACTTGTATTCATTAGCTTTTCAGTCGTCTTAGCTATAGCTGAGAAAAATCTCTTCCCTCACCCCTTGTCAATCCCCATGGCTGTGAAATTGTCAGGCTTCGTTCTCTGTTTTAGCTATACCTTTGCATGATTTTCAGTAGAACTATCAGCACAAATTTAATTCCTCTTTATTCTCCATTCACTTATTCTCTGTAGCTTTTATGTTATGTTATATTATTTGTAATTTTTGTTGTTTTTTCCTCTCCGTGTGCAGCGCAAGGTGGTTCGTTAGAAGGCATGGTGTTCACTGATAGCACTGGCAGAGTTCGGCTCTGTGGGAAAATGAAGTAGGGAGCCAATTTGGTTGTTGCTTGGATGTTCAGCAACTATTGTACTTGTCTCAGTTTTGGTCTTAGGGAGGGCTGTAGAATGGGAACCTGGGAGGTCTAAAGAATATTCAGCCATTTTCCCAATTGCTAATGCAACATTTTTAAGTGAGACTCAACTGAATGCTGGTTGGCATGGTGGTTGTCATCTAATTTCTCTTCAGATTTCACGGGACTAATCATCTATGATTTACTTTTTTTAGAGTGGTTCTTCAAACTTACTTTTTGGCAGCTTGCTTGAGTAGTGTGCTGTTAATCTTTTTGTTAAACCAAGTGAAAAATCATTTCCTAATTTACCAATGTGGTTCTGCTGAATGGGACTGGGATAATATACTTAATCAGGATTAAGTGTTCTTGGATAAAATGGTTATAACTGAAGACTTCCTGGTTCCCATTTGAACTTAGATATACTCTTTTTAGAATATTTAGTTAAGCTTTTTCTACTTAGTGGATATTTTCATCAATATAGTTTGCACAAGCAAATAATCTCCTTTAAGGATATTAATGGAACCTTTCCTGTTCTTAGGTTGTAAGGGAACTAAGCAAATATACAAATCAATTTCGGATCTTAGCCCTAAGTGCCACACCAGGCAGTGATACAAAGGTGAGTCAAATCTACTTGCATGGTTGGAATAATAAAGTTTCAGTAGAAGCTATGTTTAATACCGTTTGATACAGTTTGAACACCATGCAGGATACTGAAGTCTATTTAGATTTCCACATAAAAACTGAATCTCTTTACAGTCCGTTAGTTGTTGAGGGTTTGTCTTTTTCATGGTATAGACTTTGTATTATTTATTTCCTGACCTTTCTAAAAGGAAGTAATACCTTTTGGTTTTTGAGAATACAAGCCTACTTGAACCAAAAAGAATATACTCTCAATGCAAAATGGCTTTCGTATTCTGTTCAGGGTAGTGTATTGGGTAAATGTAAGTAAGGCTTAGGCTTTCAGTCTATGGCAGATGGACAGCTAAATTCAGTTTAAGCTCCTAGCTCCGGGTTACTTCTCATCAAGTATTTCATGGTACATCTAAAGCCAAAGGGAGACTTCTGTCACTTCAGCCCTCGTGCAATTGCATGCTTTTTGCATTCGTGAACTTGCCATATTGACTCTTTGTATACTACTTGAGATCTTTAAGTGGAGAGTCTTTTGTTTTTCATTTATAGGTAGTAGGTACATTTACCTTACAATTATATTCAAGGCCTGTTAAAATATGGAACTAGTTACTTCCATGTGATATTGACTTGCATTGTTGGAGTGTTAACAAGCAAATATGGTCTTTTTTGTGGCTTCTCAAACAGGCTGTGCAGCAAGTTATTTCAAACTTACTCATTGCTCAGATAGAGCTATGTGCTGAAGATTCTCCAGAAATTCAGCCTTATTCTCATGAGCGACAAGTGGAAAAAATTGTTGTTTCACTTGGAGAGGAATTGGTAGAAATTCAGAATGCTTACATCCGGGTGAGTTGTTGCATTTCTTTATTGTTAAATGGACGGTGTCACTAAATGAATAATCTCCCTTCCTATTTTAACAGCTCTGTCTAGACTAGCAATAACTTATAAAGGTAACGCTTTCCTATGCAATTAACTTTGCCTTTGAGTACAAGGCAAAGAAAAAAACATGGTTTCAACTACAGCTGCTGCTGTTTCACTTTGCACCAATGATACCTGTTACCTTGCAATAACTTAAAAAGCTTTGGTGGAAAACTTACAATTGAATTAGTTTTCTCATCCTCTTTCAGGAGTCCTTGCAAAATTTACGTGAGACCTAAACTGAAGGCTTCTGAATTTAGTGGTATTAAGGTGTTGAGAATGGTGATGCTTGTGTTGTCGAGGTTATTTCCAGACTTATGAAAACTGTATATTGATGAAAACATTTTCTCTGATTAAGAATGTTCTTTAGAGCTTTAAATCATCTGTAAGTGTACTTAGTTCTCCTTGGGGTTTTTTGTTTGGGTTTTTTTGTTTGTTTGTTTTTGTTTTTCTTTTAATTTTTCTCTTGAGCTTTTTTCTTTTCTTTCTTACCAGTAAGTAATGTCCAAATATAGGACAGACTAGCAGGGACCAGAACTGTTAGCCAGTCAATGATGGCTTAATGGTCTGTGTCTTCTCAGTAAGGTACTAGTAGACAAACGGTATTACATAAGGTACCGCTTTGAAAAGTTCAAAATCTATGTTACTTTTTTGGTAAGAGACATTAAAAAAAAAAATTAGGGTTAAGTTAGTATCAGACTGTTGTCCTTAGAGTATGTTTTTAGCTAAAGTTTAATGATTTTGGTGTAGCATATGTGAAGACCATTGGAAGGCAAACTTGTTTGTTCATTTTCTAGATTGAATTAGATCAGCTGTTTTCAAACCAGTAACCTGAGAGTGTATTTAAATGAGGAAGTTCCACTGATAAGCTAGCAAGAATTATAAAAATAGGTTTGCATCACTACAGGTGTCTGAATGCTCGTATTGAGTGCAGGGATTTAATCTAAGGTGTTTTACTTGAGATTTAAGCTGAAATAAGCACATAGGTTTGGCTAATCTGATGTAATTGAGGAGTATAGACAAACCTTGACTAAACTGTCACTGTGGCTTCACTGGTTTCTATTTCCTTTCTTTGATCTGGTATTTGCATTTGTATTGCTACTGCTTTACTTAGAAAACAGGACTTGTACCCACTGTAACAACACAGAGGGTGTGAAAGGATGGTGCCCCAGCCTTTTCCAGCATTCGTGGGCAAGCCAAGCCTTAGTCTTGGAGACCTCAGCACTTTCAAAAGTGGCTCCTGTACCTCAGTTTCTGCAGAGGTATTTCTGTAGTTGTGCAGTTTTCTGCAGCACAGTGATGGACCTCGGCCATGCCCTGAAGTTAAATTACACTGTTTACCGTGCTCCTGTGTTTTGGTTTCTGAGCGGTTTGAGATCAGGATAGATTTGTGAGTGCAGCCACAGAAGCAACAAGCACATGTTGCGTTATCCTTGTCACCTGCCAAAAGAATCAGTCGTGAAGTATGTTCTGAATGGCGTCAGGATTTAGGAGAGTTACTGGAGTTTACATACGTCACTCTTTGTTAAGAACTGCTTCTCTACAGTTTGATTCTGAAACCAGTCCTACCCCAGTCTGTGCTGCAGTAAGAATTGTGGGAGACTGTGCTGGATGCTTGACAAAAATGGGGTTGCAGATGGCTTCTGCAGTGAGGAGGAGGGAGTTTGCTAGCAGACCCACTGGCTGCAGCATGGAGACGCATAGCTCTAAATGTATGTGTTTATTTCAAAGAATGTATGTTTTTTGAAAGTTATTTAAGGTTTTTGGGTCTTAGAGCAACCATTTCAAATTTGGGGCTTAAATGACTTTTGTAAAATCACAATAGTAACGTGTGATTTCTGCTGTTTCCATTCAAAGGAAGGATAGCAAAAGGACTTGTAGGTCTGTTACAGAAATGAAAGCCAGGTGTACTCTGCACAATAAAATCATTATCTTTAATTTTGACAAACAGTAACAGTAAATAAGATGACATTTCAGTGAAAATGAAGGACAGTGTAAAACAGCACAACACAACAATGCTGGAAAAAATTATGTTTATATTTGTATACCTACAATAAGCAAGACCCTGAGTATCACAATAGCTGGAATAAACTTCTTAGGCACTAATGCTTGTTCGAAAAATACACAGTATGCAGGACAACATTTATCTGTTAAGGCTACATCATTTAATCTTTCAAAAATATGGGTGAATTCTGTTTTATTATTTCCTTTGAATAGTGGAAATCTAATAACTTCAAATTAAAAATGAAAATCCATTCATTAATGGCTTACAAAGTAGAGCCACAATTGGATAATAAAATAACCATTCCAATAACAGGAGTTAGGTAATCACACTTGACGTGATGTTTTCAAACCTTCTAAAATGTTATATTTCAGTAATAGTAACATTTCCTTGGCATTCACTAGTGTAACTATAAAGTAAACTTTATTGTGTGTCAGTGAAAAAACGCAATTCTTTGTGCCCATGCTTGTGAGAGCCATTTACAGAAGTTGGTACAGTGTTCCATAGCCATAAAGTGTATCTTCAAACTTGAGATTAATTGGTTCTTTCTCAGCAGCAGAAGCCGTCTAACATAAGTCAAAATAAATACTATCTTGGAATTCACAGTTTTATATAAAACAACACTGAACACTTCGCTGCAGTTAGGATATCAGCACATTCAGATAAATACCTTATTTTTATGTTTCAGTAACAAGAATGTTTCTATAACACACCCACAAGTAGCTGAGTCACAGAAGTATTTAGGTGAAGGTTGCCTATGGAAAGAGACATAAGATATAGCAAATGCTTTTTGCAATAGCTGTTTAAAAAGTAAAGTATGTACAAACCGGTACTTTATGGTGAGAGGGTTTAACTACTTCCAATAGTTATTTGACGTTTGTTGTGCCAAAGCATTAAAATAACTTCTATAACTGGCAAGAGCAATCAAATTGCAGAAACTTCGTTAATTTGCCATAAAATCTTGTTAAAGGTGAAAATTGTTTTTATTTGCTCTTATAAAATTCTTGGGGGGGGGGGGGGGGGGGGAAAAATTAAACCTGTTATTTAATGCCTCCCTGGGCCCTCTACTCAACTCAGTTTTTAAAAACTTTTTATTGTTTTACATTAATTTGTTAGCTTTCACTTTAATACTGGCTGGCATTTCCAACAATCTGAGGAAATGTTAAAATTAAATAAAAAGCAAAATAAATAAAAATCAAACAGGAAACAATTCAACATATTGAAAAATAAGTCGGAATTTTTTTTCCCTGGCTGTGATCCTGTATCTTGAACAAATTGAGAGGAATAAAATACATGACAGGTATCTTCATCATCTTGTTCTGTTAAGTAATAAATACTTTGACGTGCATTTAAATTGGCACATCAGACAAAGCAGTTCCTAGTTGTGGCCACAACTGGCACAAGCATTTGTGCTGTCACCTGGCAAACCAGATTTGATAGCCTTCTGGTTGGAATAAGAAAGACCCCAAATGCACAGTATTTTTTGAGATTCTGCCGTGCCCCCCCACCCCATCAGTTTAACATCCAATCAGTCTGTGGCAATATAAATGTCTGTGCTGGACTAGTGCAGGATATCTGAACAGCTAGGGATATCAGACGTTCAGCAGAAGAAAGTGAGGATTGCTTTTTTGTTTTTTTTTTTTTTCCATCCCATAAAAATGAAAGAAAAAGAAGTTTAATCCGCTTCCTTTTTTCCCCCCCTCCTCCATGCTGTCTCCCCCAGTAATCTCTCTGGGCAGCAACCACCAGAGAGCACATCAGTCACGCTTAAGCACGGTCAGCCAGGGCCAGCTGGCACTCTCTGATCCTGCCGCTCAGCAAGAGGTTTTAGGGTAAGCGTAAAGTCAGTTTTGTGCAGCAGAGAGCCCTGTGGAACCGGGAGGCTTAAAGTTCTTGAGACCTGTATGCATATTCAGTCAGAGGTACTACATAAATCCATTTTGTTTGCCAATTAACACTACTGTAAGCTAGCAGACACTGGCTCTGGCTGCCGTTTTGTGTGTTGTAACTGAAGAACACAAAAGCTCTATTTAAAGCCTAAATCCTATAATCAATAAATAACACTAGTGATATACTTTGTGAAATTTTGTATAAGAAGACATTTACTTCTATTAAGTATTAAGATTAAACTCTACCATCATATCTGTAAGGGGAGACATTTAAGAAGTGATTTGAGCGCAAAACTGTTTGCCACCCCGATTCTAAAGTGCAGTAGGTGCTCTTTTACTGTAGTACGTAGCAAAGCATGAGTGCTGCTTGCAGACTTTCTGATGCATGTAGAACTATGTGAGCTTGTCTTTCAGTCACAGCGTGCTAGACTAGCAGTTGTCTACTTGAAGAATTACCATATGGATGAAGGGTAAAAGAAAGAAGCTGCAACACAGAAAATTAGATACTAGGAAGAAGAATTCTCACAGTGAGGGAGGTCAAATACTGAAACAGGGCCCAGGGGGGGTTATGGGCTCCTCATCCCTGGAGATGCTCAAAACCCAACTGTGTGAGGTCCTGAGCAGCCCGCTCTGCTAGCAACGCTGGCCCTTCTTTCAGCAGAGGGATGGACCAGGTGACTGCCAGAGGTCACTTCTAGTTTAATTTTTTTCTGTGATTCTGTGAAATATTTGAGTCATTTCTAACATTAATAGTGTGGTACTGCCAGAAGAGTGTAAAAAGTACTGAACAAATTACTTCAGCTGCAGTATTTTAACATTCAGCAAAGTTATAAGATGAAAGTGTTCAGAAAACTGAAGACTTAAGAGTAACCACTTTCTATTTGGGAATGCCACATATAGTCATGGGATTGCTATGAGTGTGTGATTAAGGTAACCTGTAACTTCTGCTGTCAAGACTTTAATGAGCATTAGGACTGTTCTGCCTTCTTGGTCTCTTCTCAAGGTTAAAAGTACTTTGGTTGAATGCTTTTTGAGGT